GCTGGGCTGAGGCCAGGCCAGGCCAGGCCAGGCCCAGCAAGGCCACAGTTCACTGTGGTCAGGTCCCACGTGGGAGGCCCAAAAGCGGGCCTACGAGGAAGTCTCCGGGAGCCTGAGAAGAGTGTCCAGTGAGGCTGGCCGAGCGAAATCGAAGTACGTGACTCCCTGGAAGTTGGGCCACAGGTCAGTTGGACGGCCTTCTGCACATGCTGCAAGCGGCCAATGTCGTTGACTCTATCGGACCCACCAGCTTCTAAGAAGCTGCGCCAGGACTGGGACTGCTGCCAGCTTGATTCGAATTGTTGCAGCAGATGGGCGGCTGTGCCAAGCCAGTTCTGAAGTGTGGTGAGCATGTGCCCCGTGACTTTTGTAATTAACACAGCAGGATGCGCACAGCACCAATGGGCGGCTGCTTGGTCAGAGGACAACCAGTTGTCTAAAAATAGCTCAGACCTGCTCGAATGCTTTCCCGAAGTGCAGCATCAGGGAAGCCTGTGCATGGAAGCAAGACTCACAGAAACTAACCATGTCTGTGAGACAGGATCATAGCGGGTGTTGGCATTTCGCTCAGTGAGGTTTGCCTATGTGGTCTGCCTCTGGGGTCGTAACGCGGAGTACGTGCTGGGAGCAATGGTGCTCGCCCATTCGCTGAAGAGGACCTGAAGAAGTTGTTGTGAATGGAAGCCTTTGAGAGACGAGCTCATGTCGTGCCCTTCGCATCTGTCGCATTCCAAACAGGTCCGGAACTCGTCATGATCTCGTTGCCCTTCACACGGATGATGTCCCGAAAGAGGTGGGGGCATGTGGGGGGGCTTTGGGGGGTGGCCCGGCTCACCGGCTCCATGTTGGTACTTTGAGTTTGGCATTGGGCAGGCCGTTGAGCTGTTGCAGAAGGCAGGATGGCACCCGCGCCAAGCAGCTTGAGACAACCTTTGTTCTGAGGGAGAGATGGCAACAGTCGGTGGCATCAAGCTTGATACCTGAGGTAGAGTACGTCGAAGCAGTGTCGAGGCTTTACCAGCGGCATTGCATCACTGGACGTTTTTCAGATGTGTTGCTTGGTGGCAGTTTTGCCGGACCCTCGAGTTCCTTCCCAAATTCGAGCTCGGGTCGCGGTTCAGGATGAGAGCGGTTCTCCAGGTGAAGCCTCTGGGAGCTTTGTCTTCTGCTTCTCAAGAATCGATGCGTCGGGTTGCTGGCTCAAGCGGCTCAGCAGGGTGCTCGACCCCCAACCTCCGAATCAAGCGAGAGACCCAGCAGCATGGCGGACAAGTCTGAAAATCCGATGCGCCAGATTCGAGTTGAGAAGCTCGTGTTGAACATCAGCGTCGGTGAGAGTGGCGATCGCCTGACACGTGCTGCGAAAGTGCTGGAGCAGCTAACAGAGCAGCAGCCCGTATTCTCGAAGGCACGTATGACGATTCGTCAGTGGAGTGTCCGGCGCAACGAGAAGATTGCTTGCCATGTCACTGTCCGGGGCGAGAAGGCCGAAGAAATCCTTGAAAAGGGATTAAAGGTCAAGGAATACGAGCTTCGAAAGAAAAATTTTGCGAGAAACGGTAGCTTTGGCTTCGGCATCACCGAGCACATCGACCTTGGAATCAAGTACGACCCTGGAACAGGCATCTATGGCATGGACTTCTACGTTCACCTTTCCCGTCCTGGAGGTCGAGTCCAGTATCGCAAGCTTCGAAGGGGCAGAGTGGGTTCGTCACACAGACTCAGAAAGGAAGATGGCATGAAGTGGTTTCAAACCAAGTATGATGGCATCCTGCTCAACTGAGCCCCCGCCGACTGTGGCATGTGGCATGTCAGTAAAGTAGTGTGGTCTCGACAAATATCTGCTTGTGCACAGAGGTTTGGGAAAAATCGATCACTTGGATTGGCCAGCTCTTCCCGTGAGTTGACGCCAGGGGATTGGTGGAAGGAGTTGACGCCAGGGGATTGGTGGAAGGTGAAACTCGTAGGTATCACTATCGATGTCTGTCGATGTCTGATTCATTTTCGCTGGCTGCTTGCCCAGGTTCACCAAGCTCAGGCCAGGCGAGCAGTGGTGAAGCCATGCCTTGACTGATGTTTTCTTTGCAGAAAACCCGTCTGTTGGTCAGGGTGTTCAGCTTGGTGGAGTACGACAAGATCTTGTTGATGGACGCGGATCTCTTGGAGCCTCGTCGACAGAGCCATGTCACTGCACAACTTCGCTCTTAGTATTTTTGTCGAGGTTTGCGGCCTCACCGACGAGCTCTTCGACTTGGAAGCTCCTGCTGCGATGGGTCGTGGGCCGTGGAGTGGCTACGCCCACGGTGAGCAGATCAATGGCATCTGGGATGACAGACTCTTCATACTGTATTGCGTTGTCACGCTGTCATACCGTTCTCACCAACACCGCTCCCTCGCTTTATGACAGCGCGAGCGCGAGGCAGCTTCTTCTTCGGAGGTGCCCGCCCTGGCCCCTGGGGTTGGGGCCAGTCGCTCCTTGCCTGCAGATTCCGCTGGTAGTTTGCTTCTGTCGGGTGGGGGGAGATTACAGACTTTTCGCTGCCTTTGGGCGATTGCTTTGTTTGAGAAGGTGCGTACAGCTAAGGGGTGGCATCAATGCTGGGGTCATGCTGCTGAAGCCCAGCTTGGACACGTTGGCACATTGTCTGGCAGAGGTCTCCTGATGTTGTCACATCAACTTGCAGAATCCGGACAGTTTTGGAAAAAGCGGTCGCTCAGTTTTAGTTTATTTCAGCGAAGTCGAATCTTAATATGTGCAGGTGGCCGATGAAAAGCACCCGGAACATATACGTGGAAACGGGCCGGAACAGGACTACCTGTCCAGAAGCTGGACTGGAGTGAGGGTAAAGCTTGTAAGATCGGACTTGCGCGAGCATCGTTTGCAGAAAGTCGTAGGTGCAGTGGCCTAGGATATTATGCCAGCAGCTGGACCCACATCAGTGTGGCCTACAACTTCCAGCTGCATCAGATGTACTACGTGGCCAGTCTGCGCGTAATTGCTTGCAAAGTCGCGGTCCTTTTGAAGTTGAGCGTTGCTGCTGGGATGAACGCAAGTACTCAGGCCTTGAATCCCGAGTGTGTGGACTCGGCTGATCGAGCTGGCTTCTTTGGATGCCACTTGGCCTGGCCTAGAGTGGAGAAACATCATGAGCAGGCTTCTGGTCACGAGACCGTACACTGCGGGGCTTCAGTGGCAGTTCGCGTGCCTGTCCTGTTCCCGTTACGCCGGCACCCGGGTACTACCACTGCCGCGGGTTTCGGTTACAGTGTGCGGGGGCAGTTTCCCTTACTCCCAACGAGGGTTCCGGTAATTCCCCGCACCCACCTAGTCAGATCGGTAGATTGACAGTTTCTTACGATCCGGTGTGGCAGGGGGGAGGACGAGGGGAGCGGGGGGGGTAAGATTCATACATGAATAGCTGAGTTTTGTAGCACATTTTTGTGTAGCTGTCGAACTCATCAACGGCTGTCTTCCACAGCTAGGTGTGCAATGTTTCGGTTGTCTGCATGCGCACCATGACGGAGGGGAGTATCATGGAGAACTGACGTGATCAGTGGCAGTTGCGCAGTCGGACAGGTTACAGTATCACGTGTGCATTGCATCTTGCCTCTAAATTCGGGGCGGCTTGCCTGATGTTTGGTTCTATAGGATTTGTTGCCTCCGAAATGTGGGTAGCCTGTGACATAAAGCCGGCTAAGATGCAGGATTTGTTTCCTCTGAATTGTGGTGGGTCTGTGAAATAACTTTCTCCCGTGGGAAGAAGCCCCGTTGTCCATGGCCTGCCTCTGACATTTGGTGACTGCTGCAAGCAGCTCCGACCTTAGCTTCGACTGGAAGAGCCACTGCAGGTCCCGAGAGGGTCAAGATCTTCCACTACTCGAGCGATCCAAAGCCGTGGGCTCGACTTGTGGAACCCGCGTATGCAGCGTTTAGCGAGGAGGACGGACCATTGTGGCGTTGCCAATCGAGCTCCTGCCCTTGTCTGCTGAGTCTTGAGCGCGGCCAGGAGTGGTTGGAAGAAGTGCTTACGAAGTTCAATGGCTACCGAGCGTGGGTGCTCAAGGAGAGCTGTACGGCTGGAGGTGTTTTGCACTGCGCCACAAGGAAGTCCGGTTTGTTTTTGCAGCAGGACCCGGATGCCATCGAACGTGAGGCAGACCGCTGTGGAATTGCATGCGGTCGCGGCCTTGGCTCTCTGGGCAGGCCGGTATATAATGAGCAGGTTTGAAAGACCTGCATCCTGTAGGCCCGGACGGAAGGATCCGCAAAGCACTTGGGTGGGAAAAGTTTGTTCCCATGGATGCCGAGAGCTCCCGCTCAGCCAATCGCAAGGACGAGGCGAGGCATCCAACAGAGAGAGACTAGTGGTCGCATTGGTGTTGAGTCGCAGTGATGTTATAGTCGTATTGTCTTATGACGCCGATAGAGTTGGGATTCTCTTGGTGCTTTCTTCGCAGAGCCGAAAACAAGACAGCTGGGTTTCGGCTCAGCGAGAGTGCTGCGCCTGCGTGCGTGCGAGGGATGTGATGTGCCGTTTATGCCATATGCGAGGGAGAGAAGGAAGGAAGGGAGGAAGGGAGGGGGGAGGCAGGAGGGAGGTGGAAAGAGGGAGACCGAAAGGAAGGGAGTCGGGAGCGGAAGGGTTGAAGAGAAGGAGCGAGGAAGGGAGGGAGGGAGGAAGGGAGGAAGGGAGGGAAGGGAGGCCAGAAGAAGGCAGGGAGAGAGAGAATGAGAGATTGAGTGACTTGTCCAGGATTCAAGCCCCAAAGAAGAATGGCGACGAGTCCTGGGCGAAGAGATATTCGTGCCAGCAAGCGCAATAGAGGGTGCGGCGAAGGCATGGGCGTGGGCATTCATGTGCATGTTTGGATGCCAGCGACATCCCGACCACTTCTTGGAGCTTCAGGTGACGCGCACTGCCCTCAAGATGTGGGAGGAGGCATGCTGCGACGATGTGATGTCACGCCGACTGGGATACTGCAGGGGTGACGTCAAAGGTCTATCAAGACCTGGCTGCCGGCCTCGCCGATCAGAACCTTGCTGAGACGGTGATGAGGTCGGTGGGCAAGGCCTGGCCCATCCGAGCAGATTTGGTAGACTTCGACCATGAGGCGTGCGATCTGGTGTCGCCAGGACGTCACGGCAGTGGACACGGCAAGCTGGAAGCGAAGAGCCTTGTCTTGACGTTGTGTGACGTCTTTGCAGAAGCGTGGGTCAGAGCTTGGAGCAGCTTGCTGAGGTAATGGTTGGTGGGTCGCACCCGCAGAGTGGCCGACAGAGCAGCGGCTTACCTCTTCCTGCAGTTGGCCGCTTGGCTATGGCAGGCATGGTCGCGATAACCCAAGTGTTGAAGCGAGTTTCTCATGGCCTCCCAAGGCTTCCCAGCGGGCCACAGGCCAATCTTCTCGGGAGCGATGTGCTGAAGTCGGAGTTCACCGGGAACCTTCCCTCGGCAGGTCTTGTTGACATGTGGGAGTGATGTGCTCTTGAAGACTGACGTCGAAGGGGTCCATGTTGCTGTCATCACGCCAGGCACCTTGGATTGAAGTGAATCAGCAGCTAGCAGCCAGCCGAATTGAAAGTTTTGGTCTTGATCGGATCCAGGTGGCGCAGTGGTGAAAAGCTTCCCTTCGGATGCATCAATGCTGGGATGCGATGCAAAGGCTCCAGCATCACATCGTCAGATCGGCCTTGGCTGTTCGCCATCTTGCAGGCTTGGGCTGCTCAGCTGCCTGAGTCCGCAATGGCAGCTGTGGCAATCGCTAGCCTCACCGGGGATTTGACAGCGCTCGCAGCGCTCGCTGAGGTGCTTGAACAACTTTACGTGACCTGTGGATATCATTGGTTGTTCGCAGGGTGGACTGGGCTGCCCTTCGGCTGCGCCGCCTGCGGGCTGTCGTGCAGCAGCTGCAGTGGGTCGAACGCACAGGGGTGAGTGGCAACTTGTCTCAACTGGTGCTTGTATGGTCTGTGCGGCCCAAGCTGTCGAACAAGTCTGTGCACATACGGACGCTTGCTTCTGGCTGCTGAGGACGGACACTCACGCCGGCGTTGATTTTGCAACTGCTTCACTCAAAGGTGTGTAAAAAGTGCCGAGCAAACTGGCGTTTTGTCCAGGCAAGACTCAGTTGCCCGTCCTTGTTCGGCATTCCGGCCAGGAACGCAGACTCTTCCTAGCGCTCGGCGAGCAAGCGAGGCAGGGAGCCCTGGTTGGACAAGTATCGCCTGGGTGAGTCTTGGTGTCGCTTTCGGATCTGTCAGACCCGATGGTTGAGCATGAAAGAGATCGTGGAGCATCGGCCAAAGATGGTCTGGATCTCGAGCCCACTAGACATGGCTATTCCATCAAATCACGGCTACATCAGCAACATGGAAAATTTCAGTTGTGACTATGACTCAGGTTCAATGTGTAGAGGACGGCTCCCTCAGCAGAGTCGCGACTGCTACATTCGGGCAAGCTGCGCATGTTAAAGTGCTCCTCACTACTCGTAGCTTCGCTTGTCGAAGCTTTTTCTTTAGGCTGCGGCTGTTGAGTCCTCCTGGATTCGACATGCACCGATGTCCTGTATGGTACAAGTGCAAAAAGCCACAGAATGCTGACACATGCCTGTGCTCACGTTTCTAGGGTGGAAAGATCGCCACGTTGATGTTCATTTGCCTTCATGTAGTGCTAGTCGAAGGGTGACAGTCATCGGGCACCCATTTCAAGGCCAATGCTTTTTTACAAACATGGCAGGCACTTGGCTGCAGGGACAGGCCTGTTGCACTTTCTCTGCATCCGGTCCCGAGTCGTGACAAAAGGAAGCCAGTACTTGGTCCAGTTTCTTCGACAGGACTGTTGAATTGGAGCACGGGTGCCATCCCGCAATTCATCACCAAGGCTAAGTGCGAAGATGTTTGGAAAGGGTCAGCCCCAAAAACCGACAGGTTCTCGATCATTTCGGCCTGCATCCACCGCCTGAATCGCAGGCAGAAGGCTCAGGCATACGGGGAAAGTTCAAGAACACTTACGCAGCACTTGCTTGTCTTCCGAGGTGTATCAGCTCTACACTGCGTTCGACAGGGACTCGCAGACATCCCTTCAAGAGCACCTTCCAGATGTTTTGCCGGACTTTTCCTTGGTCACCAGGACAAAAATGGAAGCTTATCGCTGTCAATGGCTCAGACGCTTCAACACGTCGGGTTTGACGACATGTCACTATTGTAGCCTATGGAAGGCTTCAGAAATTCCTCATCGGCAGGGAGGTAAGGCCAGGGAGGTAAGGCCATTCCCTACCTCACGGATCTGTTCAATTCCTTGGCGGGCCCCAAAGCTGTGAGAGAGAGGCTCCTGCAACAACTTGTAGGCATCAGGAGGACACAATGGGCTCTCGCAAACGGATGACTTCATGGGCCATGATCCAAAGTGGCCCTCGAGATGCTCAGAGGGGGTAAGCCCTGATGAGAGATGGCCGAGAGGGGTAGCGCAGGGGTCGGTCGGGGGAGGACCGTTCGTGCAGCTAAAAACCTGAACCAGATATGAATCCAGATGGCCTTCAGTGAACCCACAGTTGGCAAGGCAGCCTCGGCCGCGAGGGGCGAGGAGCACTCAGTGACATATGCCAATGGGAGCATGGGATGGAATACGTCTGCGACCTTCCTGCTAGAAAGCCTTAGGGGGGCAAGCAGGACAGACAAATCGATGAACGCACGCATATTCGGAATGGCCCAAATGCAGCGTTGTTAACGTAAAGTTGGTACTGCCCACCTGGGTCAGGGGCATTTCGGCCCCCGGCAACCGGCCGCAGCAAAGCGAATGGCGATCGGGCGATGATCGGTCTTTGGCTGAATGAGGAGCCTCTGGGGTCGGGCAGTCTGAAACGGCTAGCTGAGCACATAGACCATATCTTCTGCACTGATGGCTCATGCTCTCAGATTTGTCTTCCTAGGTCTGAGAGTCTCCGCTTGGTCGAGGCGCCAATCGCCGCTCTTTTTGGACCCGGAGCCGAGCCAGTCTCGTAGGCGATCGTCCGTGCTGCTTTCAACATCAAATCGGACATGGCCGAGATCTTGATTTGCAGCTGCTTGTACTGACCAGCAATGCATTCCTTGAGCATAGCAAGGCCCGACAAAACACGTCCTCGTCGTCATCAGTGATGTCCTATTCTCCAGCTGGTGACCAGCTCAAGAGACCTTCTCAGAGTGTTTTATACCCCGGCAGTGGCACCGTGGTTTCCGCAGCTCAGCTGCAATGTGTTTTTTTTAGCTCCAAGGCGAAATTCAGGGAGAGGTGGTGTAGGAAAAGCGAGCGTCTTGCTCAGTCCAGGCTCCACCGTTGGCACAGCTTGCCACACAGGCCGAGTCTGGGCAACTGCGAGATGCAATGCTTCCTTCATGCTTCATGCTTCCTTGCATGTGGGCGTAGCTCTTTTGCTGTCAAGTTATTGTCGAGGTTCAGCAGAATTCCCGTGGACAAGTGTGAAGTGTGAACAGCAGAGGGACTTGTCATAAAACAGACATGGATGGGGGATAAGTGGATAAGTTTGAATTGGCATTAACCCGCCAAGGTTTTTTGCAGATTTACTGCTTTTGCTCCCATGGAATGCGTGAGAACATGGCTTCTTGCAATCCAACTGCTGGTCTTGCGTGCAGCTCCAGAAGATCTGAGCACCATCTTGCAGCAAGATCTCGCATGCGGACTCTTGGCTTTCTGGGTGGCCCTGAGCTGTGAACCTAGTGCAAAGCTTTGTCTGTCCGTTCAGCTACGGCGGTGAGCTGATGGTTCGTCTGCTGTCAGTCAGTTCATGACCTGTGTGTGGGTCTTTGTCCTTCGACGATGATGAGGCGTGCACGGGAGATGTGCGGATGGTCTGCATGTTCTGCAGGTCGCAGTGTCAAGAGACGGGGCAAAATTGGATGCGCCAACTTTTCGCAGGTTCAGACCGGAGCAGTTCCTGAGGCGACGGAGAGAGCCATCGCCTGCGTTCCCCGGTTTCCTTGCGGGCGTCCGTGGACCAGGCACTGTCAGCGACTGGGGAGGGAAAACTGAACGCTGTCCGTGCAGGCTCTGTCCCCGCTCTATCGTGGTGGCCGCCGACTGCATGGGGGCAATGAGTCCTGTGGTCGCTGCCTGCGGAGCTGCCTTCCAAGTGAAGACCCGCACTTCCGTGGCAAGGCGCTGCCCACGGAAGTTCCACTTCCGACTGTCTGAACGGGTAGTGGGGAAGTCTCCCAGCTGACCAGGCCGGCTACGAGGAATGCACCCGACACTGTCCTGCCGGATGCAGTGAAGCCAGTCTTCCAGAGATTCCAGACGTGTTGCGCGAAGGAGCCAAGGAAGCAGTTCCCATAGACTCATAGTTGGCTAGGCCATGGCTGTTGTGTTGGAGGAATCCGTGGACCAGAGAACGAAACCTGGGGCGCCTGGATGCTGAGCCTCCACCAACTCAAGAAGGAGAGACCACTGCCGACGGGCTCCGTAAGGCTGCAACATCCATGTTCTTGTGTGGGTTGGGTCTGTTGGGGTTTTCGCGACTTGTCTCCCCTTGTCCCGCACTGTCATCCTTCATTTAGCTCACACGTCGGCCCCTCGCCATGTTTCATGCCGGCCTTTTGTCGGCTGTGTCTAGCGAGTGTTGGGAGATGTGTCTTGCCTACAACTCGAAGATTGCCAGACGCGACAAAACCCCCCGTCGCGCGGATTGCCATTCTTGCATGACTTGCTTTGGTTGGTTTTCCGGGTTCGAGGCCTTGTCTGCCCACGTTATTGTCGACATGTTGATCCGAAATCCCTCCTGTGGCATGAACGGCTTCTCGGGTCATCTTGGGGAAGTTTGATTCGATAACCACGACGCCGGATCATTGGGCTCGATTCATTTCGGAACGTGATCGGCATATATCTCCCACAGTGGATCAAGTGGCACGTTGGGCCACTTGCATATTTGCCAGCCAGACCGGTGTTCTACACCGACGCGCTCATGGTATCGCAAGCGGGCAGGTAATACGAATACCCGATTTCGCTTCTGAAATCTCAGCACCGACGATATCGGTGGTGCTGATTGGGCTTGTGGAAAATGTAGTCTGTAGTTTCCTCAAAGCGTTTCCTGCTGCATGCAGGCATTTCCAACGCACGTTGTGGACCAGTATAGCAACTGAACGGTCAGAGTTGAAAGTTTAGGGGCACGCCTGACAAGCCTGCTGCAAAAAAGGGTTCAGACACCAAACACTCCTAACCATGCCTAAACAAGTGTTGTGCTACTGATGGGCCCTTGGCTAGTTGACCAGTGCTGTGCATCTCCTGTTTTGGTTTTGTTCACTTGAAGTGGTTGCGTCTACTGCCGAGCTGCCAGTGGCAAAACTGTTCTCAGAGAGAATCCAAACTCTAAACCCGAAATCGTGAGACCTATGGGTTGCAGTGCACTTGAGTCTTTGTAATTGGAAGCAGGAGCTGGCGAATATCGACTTCGTCAGTGGAGCAGGCTGAACCCTTGCATTCAACATCATGTACCTCACCTAACCTCTTACTCTAACCCCCTTCGGATACCTGGTTGGAGGTTAGAGGTTTCCGCCCGTCAGACACCATTCAGGTACTATCTATCTCCGTCAGGTACCCACTGATTAGAGGTTAGAGGTTTCCACCTGTCAGATACTTTCTGTCCAACCTCCGCCCGTCAGCTACCCACCCTCCGGGCGTCAGCAACCTCCGCCGCCCTCCGCGCGTCAGCTACCTCCGCCCGTCAGCTACCGGCCCTGCACGCGTCCAGCAACCTCCGGCCGTCTGTGCATGTCCCTCTCCAGAGAGCAGCTTGCGCCCGTCAGATACGATCTATCTATTTATTTATCTATGTATTTATTTATTTATTTATTGATTTGTTCTTTAGTTATTTATCTATTGATCTATCTGTCTATCTATCTGTCTATCTGTCTGTCTATGTATCTATAGTGAACGCGGAAATCTTGGAAACTTTGTAAAGGACAAATCCCGCTGGAAAGCCAGATTTCCAACTTTAGCCCCCGCCGCAAAGTTGGAAATTTCCGCGTACCCGCGCGTTGCGGGCCCAGAGGCCAATCCGTCGCGCTCATCATTTTCGTCGCGCCGCATTCGCGGCGAGAGTCGTTCGGCTACACGAAACGTTTTCGTTGTATCGACAGCACACGATCGTAATGTTTTCCGCACCCTACGCGGTGCTGGGGCGTGATTCGGGTGCACGACTGCGCGCGCGTCTGTGGTGCCCGATGCTGTGCGCTGGGAGGGTGCGCACGTGTGTACCCGAGGGTGCGCGCGCGGATTGTTTTGGGCGCGCTGGGCGCGCGACCTGGGTCCACGTACCGAGCGTTGACTTTTAGCAAGCAGGGCGCGTGCTTGCCAATTTGGCGCCGACAGTACATGGGGAAAGCAGTTTTGCAATGCCCGCGCTTGCACGCGATTCTCGCGAATCAGCACAGTGCTCGGAAGAAAAAATGCGCGACGCCGTTTTGACGAGCTTAAAAGGCGAAAAACACCAAAACTGACATGGAAAAGGTTCCAAAGGAAGCGAACCAGAACACCAGAGAAAAGTTGGATACTTTTGAATTTCCAACTTTTCAGTCTATTGAAAACACACAGGCGTGAAAGTTGGAAACTTGAATCAAACAGTTTCCAACTTTCGCGTGCGTGCGCACTGGCGCGCATGCCGAAAAGCTTGAGCTTTCAATTTGTTGCTCAAGAGTTTCCAACTTTCCACTTGTGTGAAAGCGCATGTCTGAAATGTTTGTGAGTTTATCAGATCTGTTTTTCAGTTTTTTTGGCATTCAGAAACTTTCAGTTTGTTTTTGGAGTGCAAGAAGATCCAAGTGCAGTTTGTGATTTTTTCATGGCACTGTTGGGCGCACCTCATTTTTGGTGCGTTGTTTCTTTGTGGTGCATTTGGGTGTCTTTCATGTTTTTTGTGCATGTTCACTTTCCGATTTGGTTCATGTTTTCACAAATCTGCGGTTCGTTCCTTTCATTTTTTTTGTGCATTGGGTGCACCCAGTTTGGTGCCTTTCATTTTTTTGTGCATTGGTTGTTTCACAAATTTGATCACTCGTTGGTGTTTCTTTTTTTGAGTGAAAAAATGTGATTTTCCTTTTTTTTTGTGCAGTTTTGGCTGCCTCTTTTTTGGTTTTCTTTTGATGTAGTTTGGTGCCTTCAATTTTTTCTACACATTCACTTCCCGATTTGGTTCATGTTTCACAAATTTTTTGAGTGCACAAAAAAGGTGTTCAAAATGTGAAGCTTGTGTTTTTTCTCATTTTTTCGTGCACTTTTTTGGCTGCACCTCACTTTTGGTGCGTTGGTTTCCTCACATAAAAAAATGAAGACGACAGGATTTTCAACTTTAATTCCAACAGTAATCAAAGAAATTTGTAAAGTTGGAAATCTCCGTTTTACACTGCGCCGTTGGAGTGCTGGAAGCAGGCTGTGGGGTTTCCAAGTTTTTGGCATTCACTGTATCTATCTATTTATTTATTTGTTTATCTATCTATTTATGTATCTATGTATCTAGCTATCTATCTGTCTCTGGCTATTTATCTATCTACTTATCTATCTATCTATCTACCCCCCACCCCCCGCCTCGGGCAGCCCTGCCGCCCGTCAGCAACCTCCGCCCATCAGCAACCTCCGCCCGCCAGCTACCCCGTGTCAGCAACTGCCAGCTATTTACCTTCCTTCCCCGCCGCCTCGGGTCCGCCCTGCAGCCCGTCAGCAACCTCCGCCAGTCAGCCACCCGCCTCCGCCCGTCAGCCCCCCCGGGCCCGTCAGCTACCAGCCTTCGTCAGCAACCTCCGCCCGTCAGCTACCCGCCTGGGGGATAGGGGTTACCCGGCGTACGCTCTGGCTTTCAAGCAGTTCGTCGACCGTGAACATGCAGCGCACAGCCCTCAAGTACAACGATTTTGTCTCCAAGAGGTAAGTCTTTTCTAGTGTGTCGTGGTGCAGACATCAAAAGCACAAGCAGGCCTTTGCATGTGTAGTTGCCAGGTTGATGAATGCTGATCAGTCTATTGGTTCATTTGCCAACCGCAAGGGCTAGCAGCAAGCTGTTGGCACGACAGGCGAGTATGAGTCAGCAGAGTTCCACCGCAGCAGTGCGGCCTATGTCACTGCCGCTGGGCAGCAGGAAAGGTTCATGACATCAGCTGCGCTGCACGGTTGTTTGCCGCTGCACGTGTGGATTCTGACAAGGTTCAGACCATGGTTCATGACCGACGTCTGTACAATCCAACAAAGCACACTTGGACAGCAGAGCCTTGGCGAATTTTCTGAGCCATCCTGGATCCTGGAACGGGCCTCTTCTGTTTGCCCGGCTCTATAGGGCGTAGACTTGGGCATGCCTTCCAATCTTCCAAGGCCAGATACCTGGATGACCTCACCCAGCGATTTGGAGGTGTTGACCAAGTTTT